AGATCAGAAGGTTGCGTGTTCAAATCACGTCGGGGTCAAGCCATCTCTTCTTGACAAAAAAAGTGTGAAGTCTAACGTCAAGTGTGTTCATTCAGATTTGTTCAATGTCTGAGTTTCAGAGTGTATGGAAGCATTTAAACAAAGAAGCCCCAACTCATTGCTAGGACCTCGTGGGGAAACGGTAGCACGTCTGACTCCAGATCAGTGTGTTCATTCAGATTTGTATTTTTTCTTAATGTATCGAAGCGTTTAAACAAGGAGCCCCAACTCATTTGCTGGGACCTCGGGGCGCAAAGGTAGCGTGTCTGACTCCAGATCAGAAGGTTGCGTGTTCACATCATGTCGGGGTCAAGCCATCTCCTCTTGACATCAAAAGTGTGAAGTCTAGCGTCAAGTGTGTTCTTTCAGATTTGTTAGTTGTCTGATTTTCTTAATGTATCGAAGCGTTTAAACAAGGAGCCCCAACTCATTTGCTGGGACCTCGTGGCGCAACGGTAGCGCGTTTGACTCCAGATCAGAAGGTCAAGTGTGTTCATTCAGATTTATTTGACATCTGATTTTCTTAATGTATCGAAGCGTTTAAACAAGAAGCCCCAACCCATTTGCAAGGACCTTGTGCCGTAATGGTAGCGCGTCTGACTCCAGATCAGAAGGTTGCGTGTTCAAATCACATTCGGGTCAAACCATCTCTTCTTGACATCAAAAGTGTGAAGTCTAACGTCAAGTGTGTTCATTCAGATTTATTTGACATCTGATTTTCTTAATGTATCGAATCCATCCTTAAAACAGAGAAGTTATCAGATGGCGTTACAGCAGTGTCCAGGACCAAGGTCATTAGCCATGTTTCAGACAAACAAAGGATGTTACTGTGTGTGTTCATTCAGTGTGTGTTCATTCAGATTTGTTCGTTGTCTGATTTTCTTAATGTATCGAAAGCGTTTAAACAAGGAGCCCCAACTCATTTGTTGGGACCTCGTGGCGCAATGGTAGCGCGTTTGACCCCAGACAACTTGACTTGACTTGACTTGACATCACGTCGGGGTCAAGCCATCTCTTCTTGACATCAAAAGTGTGAAGTCTAACGTCAAGTGTGTTTACTCAGCTTTGGTTTCATAATCAACAATGTTCCTTGTGTAATGTGATAGATTTGGATCTTGACCTATTGGCTTTTTTTATCTGGCAATACGAACTCAGAAAAAAATGTGGAAACGTGTGTGCTGAATTTAAAACCTAACTCCTTCAAGCCTGAATCGAACCAGCAACCTAAGGATTGCCAACATTTCATCTACAGTCCTCCACTCTACCAGCTGAGCTATCGAAGGATGGAAAAAGACCAAGCCACAACAACACACCAAGAAAGCCTTACCTCTTTAGGTTATTGGAGGAAGTTAGGCTGCTTTTTGTGGTGAATGCATCAAGGACCCTACACAGGAACGATCTCTTCTTGACCTCCTATGTGTGAATGTTCCTTCAGTGCTGTACCATGACTGATTTGCATATTGTCTATTGCTGCTTTTTGTGGTCAGTGCTTTAAAGTGCTTACGAAAGAACCGCAAGCTAATTTGCTGGGACTTGTGAGATCATGCGTGTGACTTTTGGGGAAGTCGTGGCCTAATGGTTAGAGAGTCGGACTCATAACCCAAATGTTGTGGGTTCGAGTCTCGTACCAGCAGGGATTGTAGGTGGGCTGCTGAATGTACAGCGCTCTCTCCCACCTTCAATACCACGACTGAGGGGCCCTTGAGCAAGGCACCGAACCCCCAACTGCTCCCCGGGCGCCGCAGCATAAATGGCTGCCCACTGCTCCGGGTGTGTGTTCATGGTGTGTTTCATGATAAATGCATGTAATGCATCTACTGGGACAGCTGACCAAAGAAATAAAATGGTCAACTCTTGTGAGAAGTGTCCTGGATAGCCAACCTGGATAGGTTTCTTAACCTGGGGTAAGAAAATTAATCTTAATTCAAAAGCTAAACAAGATTATTTTTCTTTGTTTTAAGCAAGGATTTTAAGCAAAAATCTAATACAATTTAGATTTTTTTTTTCAGAGTGATTTTATTTGTCAAGTAAATGCATCTTGATTCAAAAATATTGAGATATTTATACTAGAAAACTAGAAAAAAATACTAAGTAAAAAAAGCATTTTTTTTTTGCAGTGTAAGTTCTTTTTTTGTAGGCCTAAATAATTTTGTACTATTTTATTGAAGCTTTTTTCCTTTTCACAAGGTAATAAATAAAAAACGATATTTTCATTTGTAATGAAAAGTTAGTCTCGCACATCCACAGTTACGATTTTACATTCGCTTTGAAAAATAATACTGAAAAATAGTGACTCGCATATTGAAACTAATTAGGTTTAAATATTTAAGAGGGGTATAGCAACGGTTTTGTTTAGGGTTAAGGTTTGCTTAAATTTAAAATAACTTATAAATTAAATGTAAATAATTAAAAAATAAATCAAATGCGGTCCTAGCGCTGCAGGATGCTGCTGCTCGTGCAATATATGGCACAGTCCGGCCGTACTATTATGTGACGAGGGGAAATTGCGTAACGCTGCTGACCGGAGACCAGGTTTCTCAGGTGTGCTAGGCCTATCTTAGTCCGAATTTGAACCAGATCATCATTTTCTGATCTCAAATAAAACGATAATAAATAATAACAACAATGTCAATGACAGTAAATCCCACAGTGTCCCTGTCGTTGTGAAACATCCGGCGCCCCCCCCCGTTCCCGGCTCAGGTGGTGCGGTCTGGTTTGGAGCAGGAAGTGGGAAGAAGCGGAAGACTGCGGCCAGAAGCGCTGATTTGTCTCTCCATAATCATAACTATTATTACATTCTCTACTAGCGTTATTGATTAAAGAGCACGTGCATTAAGGAGATCATCGAAGTACACTGTAAGTGTAAAGGCGTGATTTTACACGTTTTAAACGGGCGGCTCATCGGCGAGAGGACCAAACCTGGAACACATCAAGAACACGAGTCCTTATTTCTCAGCTAAACGCTTTTATTCCGCGTTATTTCTGCTGTTTGCTTGCTTTAGTGTCCGCAGTTTAATCTTGTTCGTCTGCGTGTATGTGTACGTGTGTTTCACATATTGCATTAATTAACCTTAACTCATTAGTAAAGCCATTTGGTAGAGATGATGACTAACTAGGTCCAACAGACGTTTGTTTAGTGGCCTAGATCCCTATAGTGCGAGTTCACAGTAGAAGTGACACCTAGATAGTGATTGTGCAAGTGTGCATCTGAGTCTTGAGTTTGTGAAATAGCAGCTTGTCTGTACCAAACTAATACAGATGTGGTGCTCATTTGGAGATCAGTTAATGATGTGAACACTCGGTTGTGTGAAGTCGAATGGTGTTGTGTGCAGCTGAATGGTGTTGTGTGAAGTCGAATGGTGTTGTGTGCAGTCGAATGGTGTTGTGTGCAGCTGAATGGTGTGGGAAGGCGAGTGGTGTTGTGTGCAG